GGCGCTGGTGCTGCTGGAATCGGCTGTCCACCGTTCCAGGTGCCAGCGTTTTGCATGGGGCCACTTTCCCTGGAACGCGGAGCCACAGGCTGCGGAGTTCTGGGGGTGTCCCTGGTCATCCATGCTGCGCGCGCTCCTAGCGCGGGCAGCTGCTCGGACGGCCCTGACGGCCCCTGCTGACCCATAACGTGACTGGTGAGCGCTCACAGGCCACTCCTGCATGGGGCCGTGAGTTTAGCACCGCGCGTAGCAGGAGATGCTCAACGAAAAAATATTCGGATTCTATCGTTGGATTGTTTTCAAAGTCGCGCGACAAGATGCCGCGACGTTTTCTCGGCCGCGAACCCGCGGGGGACGAATGACCCTAGGCTAGAATGACTTTTGATGCGCGGTTTCAGGGGCGTCCGTGGCGGCCCAACGCAGTCGCGCAAGCCGGCGCTGCCGCGCCGCATCAACGACCGGCGGGGTGCCACTCGAAAGATTTGTTGCACCAGCGGGCAACCGCGACATTCCGCCGATTGAATTCGAGCGCCCCGAATGGCACTTCGAAGGCGCTGCGAAAGCAAACGCTGCCGGGGGCCACCGCGATGAAGTCTGGCACTGCCGGGCTGCATTGCGGTAAAATCTGACCAAGCCCGGCGTCGTGGCCAAAACCGGCCCCCTCCGAGAGACTGGAATATGTTGGAATGACTGCGTATAGCATATATGAGGAATGATATTTTACAGATATTCAACCATCTAAAAGTATCCAAACAGATTCAAGCCTGACGTTGTGAGATTCGGGACTGGTCCTGGGCCAGAAAGCGCGCCGCGCGATCGACCAGTTGCCCCCCGGGTAACCATGCAACCTGTGGGGGGGGGGGGGGGCGACGCGTATGCGCTGCTGTTGATTGCAAGGGGTGGGTCCAAACCTGGCGCGCTCAGATGCGAGCGTAATCACGCGATGCGGGTGCCGGCGAGGTCACGCTCATTCCACTGGAAAAATCACCCGACCCCCTTTGGGCCAGCACCAAACGTCACTCCGGCGAAGGGTCACTCTTACGTAATGTCGAGAAGGAAAGGACCGCCCCAAAAGGCTCGGATCTCCCCTGGCCTTCTGAGAAGCTGTCAACGCCTTCCCCGAATACACACAAAACCTCTCAGAGGTTGCGGAGGGTTTCTGAGAGATGCTGCCGCCTCCGAAAAAAAAAAAAAAAAAAAAAAAAAAAAAAAAAAAAAAAAAAAAAAAAAAAAAAAAAAAAAAAAAAAAAAAAAAAAAAAACTTCGGGTTTCCCCACCCACCGTTTGCCGCCGATCCCCACTGTGCCCCAGCATTTGGTGTTGCCACCAGCAGATACAACCTGCACTCCATCTGCCGCGCTGCGCCCTGCCTCGCAAGAGCACCACGGCGGGGGGGGGCGCGTTTCCTCCCTGGGATTGAGCTGTGGCGACGCTTGTTCCCTTCGTGAAAGGCTGAACGACTTTTACCGTTTATCGACTCGCGCTGGACCTGCCACGGCTTGCTCAAAAATGGCGTGGGGATCGCTTGATGGACCTAGCTTGACCACGATGTACCTGAACGTATCTCGATGTATCTGCGCGTATCTGGACTTATCTGGCTCGTTCCCCACATGTTGATTGGCAACAAATCGTCAAGCCTTAAAGGGTCCTTAAGATGTTTCGCTTTAACTTGCAGTAGACTGCGTACCTGATGCCGTGGAAGCTGCAGTTCCTGCGAGCTCACCGTGATTGGTTTTGAAGATGTTGCGTTGCGTTGCGTTGCGTTGTGGTCGGGGAAGGAGTTGGAGCGGTTAGAGATGCATGATATACTTCGTAGATCCTTACGCGTGCAGCTACGCGTCGATTGCGTATGCCATGAGATGGTCCACTTTGTTACTTTGATTAATGTCGGCGTGTGATTCACAATTCCGTTGGGGGGCGCGCGTTAAAGAACATGTTCCCTGCTCGGGCGAATCGCGGAATGGCGCCCGCCAGATTGAAAATCAACGGGGCGGCGCCGGTAGCGCCGAGGCCCACCCGCCAACGAAGGGCATGATGGGGGCGTTTGGAAGCAAGGGCGACCCAGGACGCCCCTCCTTCTGTCGAGCCGATGCAGGCCTGCGGGCAAGGCAGGCTGGACGAAAGTGGGGCGCAGCAAGGGGGGGATTTGCCAAGCAGCTCACATCGCCGATTTTCCAAACGCCTCCTGGCGCCGAAAGCGGCCATGCGTCGAAGACTGGCCCCTCTGCGGAGCGACCGAAACCAGCTGCGCGCAGCAGGCTTCGCACCCCCCCCGTTCCTTCCCCAGCCCTTCGTCCGACCCGATCAAGGCGGGTACTCTTCCTCCTCCTCCTTCTCCTCCTCCTCTACCTCGGCCTCCTCCTTTTCCTCCTTTTCCCCCTCTCCCCCTCCTCTCTCCTCCTCCCCCCTGGCGCGCGTGAAAAAATTAACCGCAATTGTGATTCACTTTTTCGGTGGTGTTCCCTATGAGGCGACAAACCGTACTAGGAGCGCGCCGAAAATAGTGGCGCGGTACACAACGCGAACGAAAACGATTGATCTGAGCACGTAGGGAGACTGAGCGCAGGTGAATATGAGCGCGAGCGCGCCTGACTGTGAATGAATCTGCGTGCGAGCGAGTCTACGTGCATGAATGCGAGTACGACAAAGCATTGTGCAATTGTATATGAATGACAATAGTTTGACAAAGACTGCCTCTGAGTATTCGTGGCGCTTGGCGTGGCCGCCGCAAGGAGCTTCCCCGGGACTCCCCGACGGCATTGCCCGCGCGCCGCGACGCCAATGTCGGCGCGCCCCCCCCGCGAGGATCGCGCCCGCTCCCCCCCCTTCTTTTACTCCATCTTTGCCCGCGCACTCAAAAGTCCAAGGCTGCGGGCGCAGCGCAGCGCGGAGTCCCCGCGACGCGCGCAGGTCGACACAGAGGGGTCCCAGCGACGCGCGCGGGTCGTCCGCTGCGCGGAGCAAAGAGACCTAGCTGGCTGGCTGATAGCGTGCAAGGTTCTTGCCGCTGGGCAGAGCGACGACGGGCGAGCGAGGCGCTGGGCAGAAAGGAGCACGGAGTCCCCGCGACACGCGCTGGTCGCCCCAGAGGAGTCCCAACGACGCGCGCGGGTCGTCCGCTGCGCGGAGCAAGCCCACTCCGTTCGACCGCCTCAGAACCCCGACGGCCTCCGACGGAGGTGTACTGGGTGGGGGAGACGCATGCGGACTGCGCCACGGGGACGTTCGGTGGAGCTCCCTATGGGGCCACGACACGCTGTACAGGGTGGGGGAACCGCATGCGGACTGCGCCACGGGGACCTTGGGCGGAGCTCCCTATGCGCATGCGAACTGTGCCACAGGGACCTTCGGCTGAGCTCCGATGGGCACGAAACGTGTGAGGGGTGGGCCGAAATGAGTGGCGAGGACGCATGCGAAGTGTGCCACTGGTACCTTCGGCGGAGCTCCTATGGGGCCACGAAGCGTGTGAGAAGTGTACCGAAATGAATGGCGGGGACGCATGCGAGCTGTGCCACTGGGACTTTCGGCGGAGCTCCTATGGGGCCACGAAACGTGTGAGGGGTGTACCGAAATTATGGGCGGGGACGCATGCGAACTGTGCCACTGAGACCTTCGGCGGAACTCCTATGGGGCCACCCACAAAACGTGTGAGGGGTGTACCGACATGATTGGCAGGGACGAATGCGAAATGTGCCAGTGATACCTTCGGCTGAGCTCCTATGGGGCCACGAAGCGTGTGAGGGGTGTGCCGAAATGAATGGCGGGGACGCATGCGAGCTGTGCCACTGGGACTTTCGGCGGGGCTCCTATGGGGCCACGAAACGTGTGAGGGGTGTACCGAAATTCGTGGCGGGGACGCATGCGGACTGTGCCACTGGGACCTTCGGCGGAGCTCCTATGGGGCCACGAAACGTGCGACGGGTGGGCCGACATGATTGGCGGGGACGCATGCGAACTGTGCCACGGGGACCTTCGGCGGAGTTCCTATGGGCACGAAGCGTGTGAGGGGTGTGCTGACATGAGTGGCGGGGATGGACGCATGCGAACTGTGCCACTGGGACCGTCGGCGGAGCTCCTATGGGTCCACGAAGCGTGTGAAGGGGTGTACCGACATGAGTGGCGCCGTTGGGACCTTCGGTGGAGCTCCCTATGGGGCAACAAAACGTGTGATGATGTTGATGATGTTGATGATGATGATGATGATGATGATGGCGACGATGATGACGATGACGATGATGATGATGATGATGATGATGATGATGATGATGGTGATGATGATGATGATCATGATGAAAGTGGGAGAAGAGGGAGCAGGAGGAGGAAACGCAGAGACCGTCTCTTCAAAACGAAGACCCAACAACACAGGTTGGTTGGGAAAAAATATCGCGCTCCGCGGAGCCTACTCATCAGCCCCAGGGGGTCTGGCCATATGTGAACCACAGCCTGACATTACATGTGCATCTACGCGGTGTGCAGCTACGCGACGATCCACGTGATCTCAGAGATTATCCACTTCACGTTGTTCTTAAAATCGCGCGCAACCATGCAATTGACCACGTGAGACCTAAGGTTAGTTTTTGTCCACATCTCGCTCAGGACATAGGCTTTGCCTACCGCCGCGTTGCCATGTTCAGAGGCCATTGGCCTGGTGAGTGAGACTGGATTGCAGTTCGGCGAATGCGCGCCCCGTCAGAACGCGCGCTGTGCGGTGCCTACCTCCTTTCGGCGCCCGCACGCGCGCGGAATGCACAGCGGCACATTTCCGCAGGATCTGCGGGCAGAGGGCTCACGCGATGTCACCCCGATTGCCCCTCCACCTGAGCCCAATCCAGCCTCCCCCCTCCGTCCTGTCTTCTCATGCTCCTCCGTCCTCCTCCCTCCTCCCCTCTCCTTTTCCTCCCTTCTCCTACCCTCCCATTCGTTCTCCCCCCCCCGCCCTTCACAAGCCGATCATCATACTATCATGCCTCCCCTCTGCAGCGGAGCGGCGCTGGGAAGGCCGTCATCCCCAGGGCAAACGCCCAGAACAGCATGTTCATCAGGACCTCCCGTCCGCGCCCTGTTTCGCCAGGGTGCCGCTGCGCCAGGCGCCTGATGGCATTCAGATCGTGTGGATGCCTGGCGACCCCCTTCTGGCACGCTCGGCCCCCGCGAGGAGGCAACTACTGAGAGGCCTTCGTCGGAAGGACTAGCGAGAATTAGGCCACATTGGGGGGGTTGTTGCGCCGCATTGGGCCGCGGATTAAGCGGCATCGAGCCGGATTCAGCCAAATTCAGTTGGATCAAACACGAATGGAGCCGGATCAAGCTACACTTCGGACCAGCGCAAACTCAGAATTTGACCTCGCAAGAGTTACAGCAGAACCTCCGTGCCCTACGACCTCAATCCGAACGACCCTCTCTGGATCGCTGGCCCCCGTCCAGAATGACAGGTTCTCTTCGAAAAGACCACCTGCCGGTGTCGATGGGTCATGTTAGGGTGCCCACCCCGCCCGACTATGGCCGAAACCACCGCCGAGCGACATAGGCCTCCCGGGACCGCACACCCCGCCCGACCATGGCCGAGACCACCGCCGAACGACGCGTGCGCCCCCAGTTGACGGTGCGCCTCGACCAAGGGCGTCGCCGCCCTACCTCCCCGTCCACCCTCAGGGGAAAGGTCCGCAGGTCCAACCGCCCCCGATAGGTTGTTGGACGAGGTGGGTCGTACACGCCCGCCCCCGAACGAAGAAATGAGACAGGAAATAGGTCCGCCAGAGCACCGAGCCAACGACGCCACACTAAAGCCAGCAAACCGATCCCCACCGAAGGCTCAAGAGGGGGCGCCCCCGAGGGGGCATGGGTTAGCTATCTGCACCCTCCTCCTCCCCTCCTTGATGCCTCACCCCGAAGGCCCGAAGAAGACAGAGCCCCAACAACACCACTGAGATCATGGGATGGGGTGGGGTCGAGAGGAGGGGGGTGAAGATAAGGTGGAGAATACGTTGTCCCAGGTGCGGCCGGGCAGCTCGACACTTGTGTACCTGCACCTGCGACGACGACGACGACGACGACGATCGTAGTCCAGCAATTGAGCGGCCACACGTGGAGGCCTGTGTACCTGCACCTGTCTTGGAGGGCTCTTTGGCGTGGAGGCCTGTATACCTGCACCTGTACCGCCACACGTGGAGGCTTGGAGGGCTCTTTGGCCGTGTTGGAGGCCATCTTGAGCGTCTTGGAGGCCTCTTCGGCCGTCTTGGGGGCCTCTTGGGGCCGTCTTGGGCCTCTTGGGCGATCTTTGGGGGCACTTGGGCCGTCTCGGGCCGTCGGAAGACCGAAACAAAGCAAATGTCACAATCCTTCAAAAACTTACGGGACATCAATGATTTGGGCCTTTTCGGACCTTCCTGGAGGCCCTCTTGGAGGCCTCTTGGGCCGTCGTGGGCCATCTTAGTGTCATCTTCAGCCGTCTTGGTGGGCCCCTGGCCCGTCCGACACCGTCGGAAGCCGCTTGGGGGGCCTCTCTGAGCCGATGTGGAGCCCTCTTGGAATGCTCCAGGGCCGTCTTGGAGGCCATCTTGGGCGTCTTAAAAGCCTCCTGTGTCGTCTTGGGGGCCTCTTGGGGCCGTCTTGGGGGCCTCTTGGGCCGTGCTGGGGCCATGTTGGAGGCCTCTTGGGCGATCCTTGGGCGATCTTTGGGGACTCTTGGGCCGTATCGGGCCGTCGGAAAGCCGGAACGCAGCAAGTGTCAAAATCCTTCGAACACCTACGGAAAATCAATGCTTTCGGCTTGATCTGGCATTCCTGGAGGCCCTCTTGGAGGCCTCTTGGGCTGTCTTGGGCCAGCTGCGAGCCAATTTCGGCCATCCTGGTGGGCTCCTGGCCCGTCGAAGCCGTTTGGGTGGCCTTTCTGGGCCGACTTGGGGCCCTCTTGGGGTGCTCCAGGGCCGTTTTCGAGGCCATCTTGGGCGCCTTGGAGGCCTCTTAAGTCATCTTTATGCCCTCTTGGGGCCGTCTTGGGGACCTCTTGGGCAGTCCTGGGGCCATCTTGGAGGCCTCTGGGGCGCTGTGGGAGCGATCTTTTTTTTCCGCAAAGGCAAGGCGAGGTGCAGAAGCAGCAGTGGTCTTTCTGATGGGGCAGCGCCGGGCCTACCCTCCGACGGAGTGCCAGAGCAGCATCTAAGGCAAGGACAAGGAAGTCAAAATCGCTCAATCTCTCTTGCTCACCATGCCCATGCAGGCTCCAGGCAGACTAGAACCCAGCACGCAGCGCGCGTGGTCGGGCGTTTACCAAAGCTGCGGCCGACGAGGGAGCCGACCGCGCGACTGGAAACGCCGTCGCGCACCAATCGGCGGAGGAGGTGGGAGGGGAGGGAGAGAAGAGGGAAAGGCAAGGAAGGGCACTTTGGCGCAAGAGACCCGGCATCAACGGTGCCGCTTCACCCAGTCGCATCGCGAAACCTCACGCAATTCCTGAATCTTGGCGTTGACGATGTTGCAGTCCTGGCAAGCACTGAAAGCCTGGCACATTGCCCTGCGCTGGGAATCTCCAAGAGTAGCTGCGAAATCCCTCAGCACTACGATCCCTAGCGCCCCCACGGAGTGAGGACGCTTCACGACGCAGCGAAGCAAAACTGCAACGACCTCGCTGAAATGCTCTGAAGCGCGAGGTATTTTGAAACATGGCAACATACACCCCAAGGCACCAAGCAACTGCACTGCAGACTCCATCTGCAGGTCATCATCGGACAAAGCTGCTTGCTTAAGAACGTAGATCCATTTGCCATGGGCGTAAGCATGCCATTCAGAATCAGTGTACTTCCTCGCGCAGTTGCAATTAGCTGGGCAATCAGACTTCGAGTACATGGGCACTGAAGAGACGGGCCAGTGCGGATCATCTTCTGGAAGGTGGTAGCGGATTTCCACAAAGACCCCAAGAGCCACAGTCAATAAACTAAGAGTACACAAAAGGAAAACGCACAGACGTCCACGTGCTACAATCGATCTTGACGGATCGGCTTGGCTGATGCACAGCATGCTCCGCGGGAAGTCGAGAACCAGTATGAGCAAATTGTATACTTGATACGTATACCGAGGTGCCATCATTATATATATATATAGAGATACGTGAAATCCGAGTGCGGCCCACGCCGACAGAGCTCTGAGCGGCGAAAGCCCTCCCGTCACAACTCGCCACCACCAATGAGACTCACACTTTGGGCCCAGATCAAATATAAGTATCCAAATGCTGAGAGGGCCCTCGAACAACATCGTCAGGCTCCCAAGTGCTCTCATTACGCCCTGCGACTGGTCAGCCATGGAATTCAAGCAAGGGCATTTGGAAGCTCTGACTCGATGTAGCAGCCAATGTGCCAGCTCACGCCCCGACCAATAGTCGAACGACCCTGGTTGGTTAAGAGACTTTGCAATGAACGCATTGAAGTACGTCAGAGCGCAAGCTGTCATGCCCAAAGATCTCACCCAACTCGAAGCGATGTCGGCACCCACCACATGTGCTGCAAGAGTCCCCAAAGTAAGACCTCTGCTCCCAGACAAGCAGATCAAAGTGCGATGGCCTGGTCACAATTCAGGTTGCGACCCGTGTGGCTCTGATCTCGAATGAACACGCCCGCCGTAGCCACGACGAGAGGCGTGACGAGGGAGCGTAACTTGCGATGCAGATACTTGCGCCAAGCGCCGGCCAGCACGGTGCTGGCCCCCAAAATATGGGCAAGGGGGGTCAGATTGCCATATATCTCACTCTGTCCTGCCATGCCATCCAGTGAAATCTGCAAGAGTCAAGGTCCCGTACGAGCACGAAGCCCGGTCCGATACCGGACGCGGAGTGAAACAATTACAACTCTGCGCTGCTGATGCATTCATGCTTGGACATGGAAAATGGAAAATAAGGAAGGGACAAGGGAGGGAACGGAAGGAGGGAGGGGGGGGGTCAAACTGCAAATCTGTCCCACGTCGTTCGTGGCCTGCCCCTGTAGCGCTTCGGCTGGGTAGGCAGCTTTGCGTCGATAGTGCCGCCTGGATTCCAGGCCGCGACTAGACTCAGCAACGTGTTTGGGTTCAGATGATGAAGCTTTTCCTGCAACCGGGCTTTGCTTTTGGTGGGTTCCGTGGCCCATTGCCGGATGGGCTTGCGAGCTTGTGCTGCTTCGAGTCTTACCTTCAGCCTTCTGTACATGTCTGGCCAATCATATGTGTCGAATTTGACATATCCCACCATGCAGCGTAACATTTGCCGCTGTGTACTTGCAAGCTTTCCAACGTCGTTCACTGTCATCGGCGCTGTCGACAAGCCGTACAAGGCCGTCGGCGTGACGGTGCTGTCGAACAGCCGGGCACGGAGGTCGAAGTTGACGCGCTTGTTCGTTAGGGCCGCCCTGACTGTGTTGAACTTGGCCCATGCACAACGAAGACGATTTGCAAGCATAGCCCTGCCTCGTTGCTTGAGGTCGCCCGGGAACCGATTTCCCAAGTATGTGTGGTAATCAGAAGACCGCACCACGTTGATGAAATCTCCAGCAGTGTCAACTAAGACCTCGGACTCGTTATCGTACACATGCTGATCCAGGGTGAAAATATGGCTCTTCTTGGCGTTCAACTCTAGGCCGACTCGCTGTAGCTCCTGGTTCAGCATGTCGAGCATCTCCGTGAGCTCTTCCAGACTGTTTGCGTAAACAATCAGGTCGTCTGCGAATCGCACGTGGGACAGGCGTCTGCTGCGGCATCCGGGTTCGAGCTTCAGGCCGTGGTCGCGCAAGCGGGTTTGCCAGCGCCGCGTGACCATCTCCAACGCAGCATTAAACAGCAGCGGGCTCAGAACGCCACCTTGACGAACACCTCTTTTGATATGGAATGTATTGTCAGCTCCGAGTCCCCCAGTCTGCTTGCTGTATATCGCTGACAATATCTTCAAGTAGGGGCGAGGAACTCCGTGTAATTCCAGAGCCTCAAACAACTGGGGCCGCAAAATACGATCAAATGCCTTCTTCAGGTCTAAGCTCGCAAAGAAGAGGGGCACGTGATAGTCGATCGCCTTGCTGACTACTGT